CTTTTTAACATTAATATGAAGTCGGCTTGTAGGAGTTTTGGAATACTGACCCAAATATGCTAAAACAGACCTATTAGAAAACAATTCACATCTTTATACGCAGTGACCCAACGGTAGAGTAAACCATACCAGCAGTATTGGGGAGTTACGGTTTACGTAATCAGGAAACAATAAAAGGTATTCCCTTACATTCAGGGCCGTCCCTGGCCAACATGAGGCCCCACGCAAAGTTATACGATGAGGCCCTCTGTTTCGCGAGCGTAGACTGGGGGTGGGGGGCTTTTGGGGGTGCTACTGGAAACCGTGCCGCGCCACACTAATTGCGCCGCATTTTCGGCTCAGTTGAGGCCCCCTCCGCAAGGTGAGGCCCCACGTAGTCTGCATGATCGGCCTGTAGGGAGGGACGGCCCTGCTTATAGTTGTATACAAAATGGCTGAATCTGCATTATGGTTTTCTCTTTCTTTGTTTCATTTGTTCTTGTTTTAATTCTGTAGGTGAACCCATAGGTTTATAAAATAGTTTTTCTGAGCTTCACTGTTTGTATTAAACAAAAACGGAGCATTCAGCTCAGATTATATTTCTACTTTTTTATTGTATTTACTGGCAGTGCATTTGATATTGAGGTGATCAAAAAGAAACAGCAAGTTATACGGTTATCTTCTGATACTCAGATTTAGATTTCTCATTTCGTGTTTTACATTGCATTGTTAAAGTAACCCTCCCAACCCTGCGTATCACAGGAAGCAGTCAATGCGAGTTAAATGAGGAATTTCCAAACAACACTTTGACATTTGCCTAAATAAGCATGACTGTTGGGATTGTGAAACACCACCATAAGGCTTTTAAAAAAGGTGTTTGTTCATTCGAGCTGACATTTGTACGATTTTTCAGCGTGGATGCAGCGATGATATATGCCGGCTCCTGACAGCCGTGCAGCCACTGAATGCAGAGGGCTGAGTTATGTGTGTGAGGTGTGAGGTACATATTCACAGCCGGCGTCATGTTCTCCCCCTCTCTCATGCCCACATGCACTCTTACTCTGTTGTTTACTCTCACATTTGTTCTGTCTCATTTTCACTGTCTCTCATGTTTCCTGTTATACGCTCTTCCCTCCTTTGTGTAAGGGGAGACTGAGGATAGTGTTGCAGAAGAAAGCTTCATTAAATATCTACATTTGTGCTGCATTGGAACGGTTTAAAGGGGCCCTATCATCCTCATTTCCAGAGCCACATTTGTATGTAGTGTCTCTACTGTGACATGTCTCCGGGCAGCACCTCTTTTCACCCTCTGTCTGAAACCAGAGCCCAGTCTGCTCTGATTGGTTAGCTGGCCGGCTCTGTTGTGATTGGTCAACTGCTTAGAGATGTGTGGGAAATATCACTAAATAACTACAGAATAAGACCATACTTGTATATATTTAAATCATTAGGGTCCAAAAGTTGTAAAATGTGGTAAAAACCTATTCCAGAGTTATTTTCTGTCTCCATTCGTTTGACTGAGCCGAGATTAGCTGTGACGCTGCTATCCAATAGAATCGCAATTGTTACATAGTGATGTCATTATGTTCCAGGACTAAACAAAGGAGTCCAATGGAATGGATTGTAGCCTTCACAGAACATTTACATGCACACACACCTACACTATAAGAAAGGGAAAACCAAAACAAGCATTAAAAAGGCCTCTATAAAAATACAGAGAGCAGAAATCATTAGGTCTGAGTGCACAAAGAAAAACAGTCAATTATCTTGAAATGTGACATAACGTTCTCTTCTCAACTGAGACGCGCCATGACCTCGTCACAGGAGCCGTACAGTGACCATCCGAATGCTAATGTGACAGACTGATTGCCAATTTACAGCCCACACAAAAACATTACCCCGCTGAATTCAAAGACAGCTCTGTAATGACAAACAATGCGACAGACTCCAACAAAAAGATATCTACTGTTTCTTCCTTCTTCAAAATTATGCTCACAATTACAGTGGGAATGATTGGAAACAGCAGTGGCTAAAACGAAGTCTCACCTCCCTTAAAGGAGCCACGCGGAAATATTGCGAGCTCTTCCTGTTTCATATCGCAGTAACAAGCAGATGATCCCCTTCAGAAATAGAAACAGCTGGTTGTGTTTTTCTAATTGTGTGGTTCCATCACCGCCTCTCAGTCCTCGTTCATGAGCAGCTGTTAGCCATGCATCCTATCGGCTTGCTTACATATTCTCTGCCATAAGGCTTGGGGAGTAATGGATTACATGTAACAGGATTATTTAATCAGGATACCAAAAAATGACATGTCTACATGCTTTAATGTTCAGAAAGCTCTTTTTTCTCATACTGCCTACCTCTTTTCACCCTCTGTCTGAAACCAGAGCCCAGTCTGCTCTGATTGGTTAGCTAGCTGGCTCTGTTGTNCCAGGGGGCAAAATGGAAGGAAACATCCATTTAAACTCAGTTTGCTGCTGGAACTTGCAACGAAGATGAGATGCCAAGTATCTGGCTTGAACCAGCATCACAGCAGCAAACTGAGTTTAAATGGATGTTTCCTTCCATTTTGCCCCCTGGTGTAGACTCTACTCTTTAATGCCTTTATGTATGTTTACTACGGAGCCCCCTAGGGGACATGGAGAAGAAAAGAAAAAAAAATTGTAAAAAAAAAGTTTTGCGAGATATCGCAAAACCTTTGATAGATATCGCAAAACCTTTGCGAGATCTCGCAAAACTTTTTACAGTACTATGGCTTCCACAGATGACATTTTTTAATGGGTTTTTTGTCAAAGCACTTCAGATATTCATTGCTATCGGGATGTTAAGAGCATTCCATGGAATATAACAAAAAGTGTATCTCGAGCCGGTTTCTCAAACTTACCTACCCCAACTTTAAAGTGAATTAACATAATCACATATATTGCCACTCCAAATGTTTTATCTTGGCTTTAATAGGCTCACACTTGGAGATATTGTTAAACTTGTCAGTGATGTAGAGTTGTAGCTATTCTTTGAACTGCGGTACAGTCATTGTTTACATCAAACAATACTCTTTAAACACGTACAAAGATTATGCCATGACCAACTTCTCTTAGTTTCCATCTACAATTTACAAAGTAATCTGCACATTGGGATTTAGTCGAACAATAATACAATGTTCATATCATCATAATCATATAGTAATGTTATTTTGTAATAATAATCTATTCAGTTGCCTTGAGAGTGATAAGCAATAATCATCTGTTCTATTACTTTATGCTTTTAACATCAAATAAACATTGCAAAGTGTGGTTTTGGTGATTTTATAACGACAATAGAGAGCCGTCAACAGCTGTGGTGATTTTGAGATGCTCCTTTGGGTTTCACGTGAACAGTATATGTATTTTCTTTGCTTCTCACCTTGTTCCATCACTTTCATATTATTTGTCTGTAAAACGTACTTCGGTGGAATAAGCTGAAATGTAAACACCATAAGCTGCTATGCTGCCCTGCACAGAAGAGCAATGCTGATGTCAATATGGCTGCGGGATTACGATTGTTGTGCTTGGCGACTGCTTTCTATATCACCAAAGTGTGAAAAGCAATAACACCACCGAAGTGCAAGTGTTGGCGGTCAATATTTTCTCTCCCTGATAAACCCTCCGGGCAGGAGCGTCGCGTCGCCTAGCCAACACAAACACAGCTTTGCAGTTTCAATCTGTCACAGTGTGTGAATATGGAGCCGGAGCGAAATAAAATAAAAAGCATCAACTCTTGTCTTACCTCTGTATCTAAGTTCCACAAAGGAATCATCCAAATGTGAAGTTAAAGGATTACGTGAGCGTCAACAGGGTTAAAAAACAGCTCCCTGCTCAGAGCAAATGAGTCTTCACGGCTGCCGCGCTGTGACTTTTATTCAGTTCACCTTTTTCTAATGTCACTTCTCAACGGGAGAACATTTTAAAAGAAAAACAATCTCAACGAGCAACTGCGAACGAGGCACAGACGAATATTTCAGCACATTGTTCTGATGCAAAAAGACAGAGGAGGAGATTACCTTGTAGAAGTCAGATGTGTTTGAAAGTCTGCAGCTTGACCTGAACGGGGTACATGAACACGTCTGCCTCAGCTGTATCTGGGAGAAACAAACAGAGAAGATATACCAAGGTTATCTCACAGCTTGGAGACTTTTCAGAGTAACGTATGATGATCACATCATTTACAGCCTCCAACCATATGCACCATCACACTGTGAGCAGCTCATATAGATGCAAACACAGGAGTGCGTGGGAAACAGGGATTTACAAAGTTTGCACACATGCTGTGCTAAGTTAAAACACCCACACCGATGCACACAAACACACAGTCGACAAGCCTGCAATTCCCCAAGCAGCTGCAGACTCGGCTACCCTGTGGCTTACTTTCTCAAGATGAGTCTCCAGAGCCCCCTAAGGAAGACAAGCGCTTTGCCAGGGATGTCCAGGAACGCTAACTGTCGCATTCTCTCTCCATGCTCACACTCTGACGGCTGTGATGGGGAGTCGTGGCGCTCCCACACTGAGGCGGGGTAATTGGCTAGAGATGATGGGCCGTAAACATACATCACAGGGGCGGCCAAGCAGACAGCTAACTAAGGCTCTCTTTCGTTTGCACACGTATGCACACACACCGTCTTCCCATCTGAGGATATTTGTTACGGTGGGTGAAGCAAGCAGGACCCAAATGCAGATAACGCTGAAAATGCCTTTATTTCAAGGATAACGAAAAAATACTAGGACAAAACAGAACACTCGCCGGTGAACTCAGTCACAAACAAAAGACGAACCAACACTGAACACAGGAAGAGACAAGACTAAATACAGGGAGGGGTAATCACAAGACGAGAAACAGCCGGGCAGGGGAGGAGAAACACAAGGGCAACAGGTGAACACAATCAGACAACTAGACACACCAGGGAAACTAACGACAGGGAGGAAAAACACAGGGAGAGGGACCAGACAATATACAAGGAAGAAAACATGACAGGGAGAACAGCAAAACACCCAAAACAAGACATACAAAACGTGACATGACACAATAATCGTAACAGATATTGCGATTCGATTTGCAATTTTGTTTTTAAGCGACCCAACGTAAGTTTATTGTAAAATGCGGCCATACCTCGGGCTAGGAAGGTCGTATCAACGTGCTCCCGTCTCTAGCACCCCCGCAGCCCGGGCTACGAGTGAAAGAACTAAACTTACATGAAACTTCCGTTGGGTTGCTTTAAAGTCAAGCTTCAGTTTCAGATTCACCCTGTGATAGAAACATGTGATGGAGCATTACTAACCTGACTCAGATGGTTTCACCAAACCATCTAGGAGAGCTCCATTGGAAGCCATTTGGAAAGGGCAGGCACTTTCAAAAAGACTTGGCAGGTGATTGGATCAATCTGTCTATCACCTTCTATCATGGGCCACTTCTGATTGGTTAACAATGGCTAGTGCATGTGGAGCACAGCACTTGTGATTGGTGTGGATGAAAAAAAAAAAATTTGTAAAAAAAAAAATCGCAGGCTTTGCGATTTGATAATCGCATCATTTCAAATCGCGATTTCGATTTAAAATCGATTAATTGTTCAGCCCTAGTGCTCATGTGTTTCATGGTTGGTGTATAGACTCAATACGCTTCATGAAAGGCAGGTTTTCCTATAAATACAATTATTTTTTATCTTAAATATCTTGGTTCCCCGTTTTCTAAGGTAACATTGTTCTGCTCTCTTACATAAACCCATCCCTGGTTATTAACACTAGTTCTTCTCATGTTTGATCGTCTTTTTTTGTAGAAATGTTACCTGAATAGAAGCCCAATCAGCGACTAAACAGCAGAACCTGCCACGCTGTCGCCCGTCTGTAAGGTATTTAATCCTCATTCTTCTCTAACCACAAGAAGCTTTTTATCCCCGGCCTCCCACCGACTGCAGCCACACCAGCTCTTAGTCTTTCAAAGAAGCCTTAATCATTTTAATATGAAAGCTGCTAAGTACCCCCAATAATCACTTTGATGAAATGGAGGACATCTTTAAACTGCCAACCCCCCACCACCTTCCTCCCCCTCTCTCTCTCTTCCTCCCGTCCCCCGCCACCCTCATTTCAGCTTTTCACCCCTTGCCTTTCATCATTCTTTTCATCATCCTCAGCTCCATTGACCTGAAGCTGGATCGTGATACGCCCGTGCTTTACAACCTCTCTAACTCCATCTTCATCATCCTCTGGCCCTCTGGCCCTTTGTTCACCTCTTTCCCCAATCAAGTGACCAAATCTGGTTACTTTTAGCGAATGTGGACATTATTGCGCGATTAAAACAAAAACCCGGGGCTGGTGGACAAAAACACCTTTGGCCTCCTGCTGAGGGAAACTGTTTGCTAACATTTAACATAAATTACTTGATGAGGCTGATTTTGGCCTGGTTGCACAACGAGATGGCAAAGGTACCGAGGAACATCCTTTACTCAAGTTAGAAGGTACCGATACTCGTGTTATAAAATACCTCGTTGAAGTAGAAGTACTGACTAAACTTCTTTTACTCAAGTAAGAGAGTAAAAGAAGTGTGGGCTTCGAAAGTATTTACCACCGGCTTGTGTTGGGAGTTCAAAGCTGTTACCGTTCATCGGTGTCATTGGCGTTCAATTTTGACCCATGATTTATCTCCAAAAACACACACAAAAAATTACTATTATTCCGATTAGTTCTAAATTGTTTAAACTTTTAACATCATAACCTAACTTATTATGCATTCATAACCGTAACATTCCCTGTAGTAATTAAATGTTATGGCCCAAAACACATATTGCCACGGTGCATGTTGCTGAGTTCAGGTTCAAGTGTTAGTGTAGCATATGCTTCTTTGGAGAAAGGTGGGGGGGGGGGCAGAGGAGAGGAGTCTCCAGGTACATGTTGGTGAAATTATGTTACAGTGCATGAAGGGGGGGGGGGGAAGAGGTGGTCAAAGTCAAAGATGAATCTTGTTTTGTGGCCAAATTTGACCCCATGTTCACCCAAAAACAATTCTGGGCCGGGGTCTCCCCAGACCCCAACACCAAATTATAACACTTTTTTGTAGAGACCTTCAGACTTGGCTAAAATTGTCAAAATTGTTTTGTAGTGTTTATATTATCTGTTGGTGGAGGATATATCATGAAGCTTTGTTCCGATAAAAAAAAAAAAAAACAAGATGGTAGTTATTATATAATTATTAACTTGAACGGGTACGGGGAGACCCGAAACACAACATAAGGGTTAAGTAAAAAGTGTACCATAACTAGGCAGCTGTTTTAAAGAGTACCTTGACCTCCCTTTATATTAATAAGAACGAATTAATGTCATTGTTAGCTATGAATGTTTTCCATGGTGACCAACGGCAACATGACAACGTTTTCCATTGGTCCCTTTCTTTAGAGAAGACCAGGGAAAGTGATGGATAACCGGATTCGTGTTCAAAATTCAAATAAGGCACGCAATGACTCTAAATAAATAATCGATCACGCCACAAAACACACATTCAGATTAAAGGAACCAGCCTGTTGGAAAATGAGAGAAGTAGAAAGTACAGGTATTTGTGTTCAAAATGTAAGAAGTTAGAAAATACAGGTATTTGAGTCCACATGTAAGAAGGTAGAAGAGCCAGGTATTTGAGTTCACCATGTAAGAAGTAGAAAGTACAGTATTAGTGTTCAACCTGGATAAGAAGTAGAAAGTATCAGGTATTTGGGTTCAACATGTAGAAGTAGATAAAAGTACAGGTATTTGTGTTTCAACATGTAAGAAAGTAGAAAGCACAGGTATTTGAGTTCAACATTGTAAGAAGGTAAAAGTAAGCAGGTATCTTGAGTTTCACATGATAAGTAGAAAGTACAGGTATTTGAGTCCACATGGTAAGTAAGTAGAAAAGTAACAGGTATATTGTGTGTTCAACATGTAAGAAGTAGAAAGTACAGGTATTTGTGGTCAAAATGTAAGAGTAGAAAGTAAGCAGGTAATCTTGTGTTTCAACATGTAAGAAGTACGAAAGTACAGGTATTTGTGTTCAAAATGTAGAAGTAGGAAAGTACATGTATTTGAGTTCAACATGTAAGAGAGTAGGAAGTACATGATTTGAGTTCAACATGTAACGATAGTAAGAAAGTACAGGTACTTTGAAGTTCACATGTAAGAAGTGAAATTACAGGTATTTGTGTTTCAACTGTAACGAAGTAGCAAGTACAAGGATTGTGTGTTCAACATGTAGGAAGTAGAAAGTTCAGGTAATTTTTGAGTTCAAAATGTAAGAAAGTAGAAAGTCAGGCATGTATTTGAGTTCAACATGTAAGAAGTGAGAAGTAGCAGGTATTTTGGAGTTCAACATTAAGAAGTCAGAAAGTTACAGGTCTTTGAGTTCAACATGTAAGAAGTTAGAAGTAGCAGGTATTTGTGTTCAACATGTAAGAAAGTAGAAAGTACAGGTATTGTGTCTCAAAATGTAAGAACGTAGACAAGTACAGGTATTTGTGTTCAACATGTAAAAGTAGAATAGCTACAGGTATTTGTGTTCAAAATGTAGGAAGTAGAAAAGACATGTATTTGAGTCAACATGTAAGAAGTAGAAGAGACATGTATTTGATTCAACATGTAAGAAGTAGAACGTCAACAGGTATTTTTTGAGTTCAAGCATGTAAGAAGTAGAAAGTAGCAGTATTTGTGTCACATGGTAAGAAGTAGAAAGTTTACAGGTATTTGTGTTCAACCATGTAAGAAGTAGAAAGTTTCAGGTATTGAGTTTCACGATGTAAGAAAGTGAAGAAGTACAGGTATTATGTTGTTCAACTGTAAGAAGTAGAAAGTACAGGTATTTGTGTTCAACATGTAAGAAAGTAGAAAGTACAGGTATTTGTGTTCAACATGTAAGAGTAGAAAGTTACAGGTAATTTGTGCTTCAAAATGTAAGAGGTAAAGTAAAAAGCCATTGTAAAATAAGTAGTGGGTAGAAGACTGTACCGGAAAAATGTACTTAAGTAGCAGTAACAAAGTATTTGTACTGCCACTATTCCACGCCTGGTTGCACATACTTCAGCTATATGTTTATCCCCGAATGATCTGCAGCATTGCTTCACTCAATGCT